AATAAACTTCAAAAAGTTCTAGAATTTTAAAATAGAATCCAAAAAATAAAAAAATAAAAAAATATTTTTCTGGTTTGATAATAATGATACTTAAAAATCAAATTATACAATCAACATGTAAATGAATCATCTCTGTCCCTATTTTGCTCACACAGCCAAAATCAAATTCAATGCGAGTACATTATGTATAAATTTACATGTATGTATTTATATATAGAGAGAGAGAGAGAGAAGAAGAATAGGGTTTTAGAGAGAGAGAAAGCATAAAATGTATTGTTGACCATCGTCGAAAGCTAGCGGAGGGGGTTGGTTGTTGTTGTAGCGAGCGACGAGGGTGTCGAAGCAATACACCACCATTTCTCTATTTGCAGACACCATTTTTGTTTAGTGAAAACATATGGGGAAATGGACAGGTATCTATTCCTGACCCATTCCTGATGGATATTTTAAAAACACCACTTACTTGACCCGATGGGTAAGAAAAAAAGAAAATTTTCATATATTTAGGTCGAGTCTCTATAGATATTCATAAGGTAAATTCTCCATAGCCATTCCTAAATATGAACTCAATTTGAGATTTTTGTCGAATCTTAATTTAATTACAATCAACTTGTCACCACTTCACAAACCTATGCAAACCTTTCATGGGAGGGAAGGGTTGCCCCTCCAATATCAAAATACTTGATGACCTTGATGTAGATATTGGCACATTGCTACGAAGCATGAGTGTGGATACAGATATGGGTACGAGTACGATATGAGTATAGTTGGGGTACGTCAATTTTTTTTAAAAAAATTTATAACTAAACATCTAACATATAAATCAAAGTTTCAATATTAAAACTAAAAGGAGAACAACTTGTCTATAAAGTTATATTATTCTTTCTTTTTCTTTTTGATTGTCTAAAACAGGATGTAAAAGAGAGCAAAACCATGACTCATAGATAAAGGGTGTTGGAAATAAATTACTTGATATTTTTAAGATTGAAAGAAGAATAATAAAGACTGCAACAAATTCTAGCAATTGCAAAAAAAAAAAAAAAAAACCTCACCGTACCGGTGTCATACCCATGCTGTATCCACAACGTACCCATGCCATACCCACGACGTACCCAAATACATTTGTTGTAACCGACATGTATTCAGCGTACCTAGTACTTGTACCCGCACACGGAAAGTACCCGCACGCGGTAAGTACCCGATCCTCGTACAATATGATTTTTGAAGTACCCGTGTCTCATAGGCACATTGATATGGTTAAAAACGTTCCATTTTTTTTTTAAATTCTCCTTTTTTTTTTTTTTTTTTTTTTTTTTTTTTTTTTCAAAATTTTGCTTCTAGGTTGACTTGACTGACTGACTTCCATAAACTTGAAAGAAATTAGGGTAGGAAACTTAGAACTTTAAAACTCAAAAGTTATTGGCTCCCACTTCATTTGTTTTAGAATTGTTTACTTTCTTGTATGAGCATTGTTATTTATATTTAAAAATTAGGCTCATTTTTTAAATTTAATGATGTGATAATTAATTAGAATATCTAAGGTAATACTATCTCTCATATATTTTTTAATTATCAACCAATCATATAACTTATACATAATTAGGTCTAAAAAATAGATATAAAAAATGAATTTGTATATCATTTTCCTTCTTGTATTTATATATTATTACATAATGTTAACATCGAATCTGGTATAAAAGTTGATTTGAAGTTATGTCACACATTTATTTATTTATTTATTATGTCCAATTATCTCTATGCAATTGCTTCAAATTTTGATTTCTTGTTTTTCTCTAATTTTCCCTCCCCTCCATCCACATTCAAATGCTTATATTTCGGTGATGAACAATTAAAATGTTGGTATCTTAGATTTTGATGATACACCTATGAGGTGTGCATACCTTCTTATACGTGTAGGCTTATATTTCGGTGGTAAACAATTAAAATGTTGGTATCTTAGATTTTCATGATACACCTATGAGGTGTGCATACCTTCTTATACGTGTATGTGTATGTATATACATACAAATATTTATATGAACTCATTAATACCATTCATAATCAAGAATATCACTATATTAAGAAGAATACCATATTGAAAATTATTATTTAATTAAGAGTGTGACGCTTGGTATTAATAAAATATGAATGAAGATAAATTGTTTACAAGTCTCAAATAACCTTTGGTTAAAAAAAATCTCAATAAAATCACTCAATGTTTCAATAATCATAAGAGGGAAATATAATGTGAAACCCTACTGGGTATTTTGCCGTTGCATTGAGTACAGATGCTTTCATGTCTCTTCAACAAACAAAACAAGTAAATAAAAGAAGTACAAAAGAAGCCATTCTAGTTTTAACATTTAATTTACACAAAATATAAGACATGCCACTTGATGAGGCACAATATAGGGTCATCTAATGGTCTTTTGATTTCAAATTAAAATTTGATCAAATTCTATCAAGCGTGCCAACCATAGATGAGCCTGCTCTCCTTTATCTACTAGTTTAATTAGCGCGTGTAAGCTAATTTCCAGGAGGTTCATGTAATCATATATATATATATATATATATCATCAGGTCACAAGTCCATATAGTACTCATTGCAATCCAAAGGTTGTTGAGTATGTGCATCAGTTACATCAGTGCTGTTTTTTTGGCCCGATTTATATGCTTGAATATGTTATACTTGGATCACAAATTCTGTTGGTAATCAATTTAATTTACTTGGCTGTAGCGTTGTTTATATATATATATGTATAGTAATAGTGGATCCAATTCCAAAGGAGAAATTTGAGATTTTTATTTTATGATTAATGATCCTCTCTGTTTTAAACGAGAAATTGATATTATCATTTTAACATTATTGATTGCAAATAAGTTAATCAATTGTTGTCAAAACTCAAGATTGATTATTTTTTTTATTTTTTATTATTTATTTTTTCATTATAGGACTCTTTTAGTATTAATGTAGTAGCTGTTGGAATTGAGTGTGCGGATATAGGAGTATAAGGTTTGACTTTCTTTCTTAATTTATTGTACAATTTGATATAATTCTCTTCATAATTATAAATATTGGGCTAATTTTACTATTATCCCCTAGTATGATATATATTTTTTATATTTATTATTTCATAACAAACTTTCAAATTCATGTTTTTTCAGTCTATAATTTTTTTATTTAAGTTGATATGATTTAATAAGAGAAGTTTGTCCCAGTCAATAAGGGTTCGTTTGGAAAGAATTTTTTTAATATGATTTTTTGACTTTTTAACTAATTTAGCTTGACTAAATTAGCTTCATTTAGAAATAATTTTTTGATTTTTTTGTGAGAAGAAAAGGAAAATGATTATGATTTAAATATGACATTTTGTCTGATTGAGTTATTTAGTCGATTTAGGATTCGTTTGAGAAGTGTGTTGACTTTTTGACTATTTTAGTTTAGGGCTAAAAAGTTTCGTTTGGGAAGAACTTTTTAGTTTTTTTGACTTTTTGTGAAAAAAAGAATGTTATGATTATGAGTTAAATGTGATACTTTATTTTATTGAGCTAAAAAACTTTTTTTTTTTTTGTGACCATTTTACTCAAAAAAATCCCAAACCTCAACTTTCTAAACGAGCTTTTAGTATTTTCTTGCATTTTTAGTCCCAACTCACTTCCAACTATGTGGTCAAATGATAAATGAGACTTGTAACTATTAACTAGTATTATCATATTTATTTGGGGGTGTTTGAGAACTTGATTTTTAGATTTTTTTGGTTTTTTTTTTCACTACAAGACAAATGTTTTACAAAATAAAAAAAAATAAATTCAAACAAAATATCACATCAAACCTTATAATCATTTCACTTTTTTTCTCACAAATATCACATCCAACCACAAAAAACCTAACTATCTTTCTAAACATAAAAAAAATTTTCTCCAATAATATCTTACAATTAAAAAAACCTACAAAAAAATCAACTTCCCAAACACTCATAGTATTATCATATTTTAGCTTGATAACATGATATTTTTTTTCTAGATTTTTATATTTGTCATATGTTTCATGCTATCATATACTCTTGTGGTACTAATAGTTGTTTTGCAGATCATAACCTTTTTGTTGGGTGTAATGGGTTGGGGTGATAAGGATTTTTTTGTTAAGTGTGTTTTGTCATAGTGATAAGGACTTTCTTTTAAGTGTGTTTTGTCACAGAACTGCCAAAGGAGGAGATTGTTAGATTTTTGTAATTGGTAATTCCGCTTGACAAAACTCCTTTTAGTTGTAATTTTATTTTCTCTTTTATTTTAGTGAGGCTGTGAGCGTTTAGATGCGAATTCAACCCAATTTGTATATGTGTAGAGGAGTTTGTGCTAACATTCTATATCTTAAGCATTCCTCATTTACTACTTCGCTGACTATAGAAGAAAGTCAAAGTGGTTTGACCGCTCGAGTGGTCTTTTGTGCACTCGAGCGGTGAAATGAATCATCTAGTATCTTTGCTTGTAAACTGAACTTTTAAGAAATATATTTTACTGTTCAAGCGGTGGATGTTGCGCTCAAACAGTTAGCCTATATTTTCATAATTTTTTTTTTTGTATTTTTAGAATTTAGTGAATTTTTTTTTAAAAATTCATAAATATTATACTTTTAAGTGTATTTATGGTAAGTGTGTCTAAAAATTAAAAAAATTTCTTAAAATATTAAAAAAATCATTGAAAACAAAAAAATACATAAAATAAAAAATTAAAATTTTTTGAAAAGTAATTTTTGAAAACTAAAATCAAACAAGCTGGATAATAGTTAAAGAAATAAATGTGAAATTAAAATAATCTCCAAATGATTGATTAAAAAAAAAAAAGTAAAGAAATCTTTTATATTAAATCCAAAACCAAATTTAAAAAATTTTAAAATTCATATGATTTTTACCTAATTTTTTTTTAATAATATTTTGATGGTTAGAAAATAGATATTTCCATTGATAGCATTGAATAGAATAGAATATGATAGAATAATGCAAATAGTCTAACTAAAAATTGTGACCAGGTAGTTTCCAAGCAATGGGATACTCCATGCCTTCAAAGTTCAAACGAATCCCTCGCCTCTTTAAATATTTTTCAATTCAGCTCAGGCAATTCCCCTCCTGGTGTTCTCTTCTCTCTCATCTCCACCTCCATCTCCATCTCCATCTCTAGTTCTTTCTCCGAATCCACATTAGCCAACCCAGTCAAGCTTGCTGACACTGAATGGGCTTGGCGGCGAAGCTCAGCGCCACCGTCCTCCTCCTCTGCATGTTGGCGGCGGCGGCGCCGGTCTCCGCCCAGAACCTCAAACCCTTCACCAAACCATTCGGACCCTTCAACGACACCCCCGCCCACTACGAACCCATATTCGCTGTTATACAATCAGCAAGAATCAGCAACAATGCCCTCCAAATCACCCCAGACACCGCCTCCCTTTCCGACCAATTCAATTTCACCTTCGATCAATATGGACGAGTCATGCTCAGACAACGCTTCAAGCTCTGGGAAGACAACAACAACACCACCAAACCCAACAGAGTCGCTTCTTTCAACTCCTCTTTCCTTGTCAATCTCGACAGCGTCAATGGTTTCGTCCCCGCTGAAGGACTCACCTTCGTCGTTGCCCCTGACCTCAACATTCCACCGCTCAGCTACGGCCAGTATTTGGGCCTAACCAACTTAACCACCGATGGAAACTCCACCAACCATTTCATCGCCGTCGAGCTCGACACTTTCAAGCAAGACTTCGACCCAGATGCCAATCACGTAGGTCTCAACATCAACAGCGTCAGATCTGTAAACACTACGTCGTTAACCCCACTCGGAATCGAGCTCTCTCCGCCTGGAAGAACCAGTTTTTTCAATGTTTGGGTTCAGTACGACGGAACCCGGAAGGTGATTGAGGTTTACATCGCGCAACAAGCTAACAGATCTGATCCTACGCCGCCGAGGCCCGCCGTGCCGGTTCTCAGATCGGATTTGAATATCAGGGATGTGCTGAATCAGTACTCGTATTTTGGGTTCTCGGCATCTACTGGGTCCAAAGCCACCAACTCCACACAGCTCAACTGCGTCCTGATGTGGAACATGACGGTGGAGTATTTCCCGGAGGACAAGCAAGAGTGGGTGAAGATCCTCCTCGGTGTCGGAATCCCGGTACTGGTGGTGCTGCTGATTGGGTTGGTGGGTTTGGGCTATTACCTCCGCAAGAAGAGGATGCCAAGGTCTAATTCCAACATTTTGGGGGCTCTGAAGAGCTTGCCTGGAACCCCGAGAGAGTTCTTCTTCAAGCATTTGAAGAAAGCTACTAACAATTTTGATGAGAAGAACAAGCTGGGTCAAGGTGCTTATGGTGTTGTTTATAAAGGGGTTCTCCAAAATGAGAATTTGGAAGTGGCTGTCAAGTGTTTTTCCAGAGGGAGTTTGAAGGGTGAGGATGATTTCTTGTCTGAACTCACCATCATCAATCGTCTTCGCCACAAACATCTTGTTCGATTGCTTGGTAAGGTCCTTTCACTACTCTTGCAATTATTCCATTTTTTTTGGGTTCTAGTTCTTAATTGTTATTCTTCTTGGTAGAATTGATAGCACTGCCTAGTAGTATGTATGATCCAATAATTGACTTTACCCAAAATCTCTTGAAGCTAAAGATCGTTGACCATGTGAACTCCCCCCTATGTATATATCAATTTATCTAACAAATTATTTTGTTACCAATTTGACCCCCAAAAAAATTTATACATAAAATAATTATATGATGCAAAATCATAGCCCATCATATGATTATTGTAATCTAATTTCGTGAATTATTGTAGTCTAATCATAGCCCGCCTCATATTGTATCCGACCTCACTCTCATATCCACCCATATATACGGTAAAAAAAAACGGGGCCTTTATGATTTACCCCATTGATATTTTCTTTTTAATGCAACGTACAATCTAGTTTGAATTGACTTTGCAACATTTTGTCTTCTGTTGAAGGTAAAGGGTGTGAGAATTTCATGGTAGTGGACCCAAATGACGGGGAAAAAGAAGAAGGTGAAACCAGTAAATTATGACTTTATGTGATATGAGAGAAGGTTCCAAAATATGGTAGGTAGGAGCAATATCGTACAAACAGAAATTTTCATATGGATTGATCCGATCGAATTTAGACTATTCACTTTTAAACAAAACACCCTTCAAGATGAGTTTTAGTTGCAAAAATGTCATCACCGCATCATTTTGTTAAAATTTTCTGGTTAATTTTTCAATAAATTAAAATTTTCTGATATGGTAGGTAAGGCCAAAAAAAAGCGAAGATATGAGAGGGTAAGAGACTGTTAAAATACACTGCGTTCTCTGTTATGTGAAACAATAATACACCCTGAGCCTAAGCTACATGGAAGTGTCCATAAGTTCACTCTTGAGCTGCAAACTAGGTTTTCAAAGCCAACCTACCAATGGCTAATGATACCATGTTAGAGAAGCATAACATCTTAAACAATCTTCGTAATTTAGTTTTTTTGTTAATTACTGAAAAAAAGATCACTGGTAGCCATTATTTTTGTCCTTAGAATCAAGCAAAATGACCTGTAGGATAAATCAACATGCTATGGGCTCAAAGATTATATTCTATATCCTACCAGTGAGACAAGAATTTGAGATGAGACCAACCCCTATGAACATGAGTTGTCTTTGTGCAAAGCAGTCATGGTCACTTCTGTTCCAGAAAAGGATTTGAAAAACTAAGCAAGCATTGCTAGAAGAAGTGTCTAATGTTGCAGTTGAGATGGCTATAGAGTAAATGCTTTAATTCTACTTTTGTTTGGTTCAAGCTAGCTCTATCTAAGAACCAAAGGTGTAATGGTAGTTTTAGATTAATTTTGTACCATCAGTCTGAGAAGGAACAAAAATAGAAAATTCCTTATCAAAAACCCACCAACCGTCCCATGACCAGGATGCCTCCAGACAAACAAGTATTTTTTATTTATTTATTTTTTATGTATTTATTTATTGCCCTTTCGGAAAATTAGGAGTTAGGGCCACCACTTGCTTACAATGCAATATCGGTAAGCAGTTATCGTCATTGGCAAAGCTGTGTTACACATAATGAAGAGGAAACTTCTTATCCCTGGCCTTATCCTCCTTGTCGGAGTTGTCATGGGTGACTTTGTCAGCTGAAATTCATATTTCACATTAAAAGATTTAGAAGTTTGGTTTAGACTATGCTTTTGACAATGACATCGACTTCATTTTCATTTTGAAATTTCACTCTTAATTACTTTGACTTGTATTTATTGATAATTCAATAATTGGACTATTGGCAAGTACTACTACAGCTCCACTAGTTCTTTAATGCCTCTTTCCTTGTTTGGGGACCCCAGCAAGTGTGGAATGATTAGATGAACATGTGTTGGTCCAAAAGACTGAATTTCATGGTAGTATTTGTGGGTCATATAGAGGCATCTTACATTAAGAAGCAGAGACACTTAAATGTTGATAGGAAAATTTTCGAAAAATTTAAAACACGACACGACACATGAGGAACATTGCAAAATATATAGTTTTATATATTTATTATGTGACATATATAAAATAAATAATTACTGTATGTTATATATATTAATATTTAATTCAAATAAAATGATTTTTAAAGTTTAGAGGATGAGATTACGTATAAACTTACTTTATTTTTCTTTTAATATTGGATTCCAAATTATTTTATTTAAACTTGAATGTGTTTCATGTGTGTCTAAGCAATACAAACATGATGTTCAAGTGCCCGAGTTTAGAAAAATTTTAAAAATAACAGGACATGTGGTTGGAAAGTGTTGTGTCGTGTCAGGGTTTCACATAATAACGCTACCTTCTTAGAAGTGTCGGTGTTTCTTAGATCTTACGCAATTCAAGGACTACAATCTGTGTGCTAAACCCATTCAATTAAGTGACTTTCATTTCTAAAATCTTACTGTAAGATGCTTTATCTCTATCCGTACACAGTAAAGATAAATTTCTGATGGCTAGGACTTCTTTCCATCTGTGTAGAACTGAAATTTCTATCTTTGTCACCATGAGAAGGATGATAAATTAGAAAAGGCTACCTAACAAATAGTAAGGCAAAGCATTTCACTTCTCACTTGAAAGTGTGCTTTGGGATATGATATGCTGAGTCAAGTTTGAAACAGATTGCTTCAACCAAGCTGTGTAAAAGATTCAGGTGAGACTATATGTAACCACAAATTTTTTTTTTCTTTTTCCTTCTCATTTCAAAGCAAAGCACAGTGATAAAACTTAATCAGTTAGTATCAACAGTGAAATATGTACATTGGTTTTGTATAACTGTGTTGATGTGGTCTTAATCAAAGATGAGTTTTTATAGAAAAAAATCATGTATAAACCGTCTCTTGTGCCTACATATGTCTAACAAACATCTCTCTGTCACAGGATGGTGTCACAAGAATGGGAAGCTGTTGCTGGTTTACGACTACATGCCCAATGGCAGCCTTGACAAGCACCTTTTTGGCGGAGCAGATAGCAAGCCACTGAGCTGGACTCTGCGTTGCAAGATCATCTCTGGGGTAGCCTCTGCTCTACACTACCTCCACAACGAGTATGATCAAAGGGTGGTGCACCGTGACCTCAAGGCCAGCAACATCATGCTCGAGTCTGACTTCAACGCCAGACTCGGCGACTTTGGCCTTGCTCGTGCCCTAGACAACGAAAAGACCTCATACGCAGAGGCCGAGGGCGTGCACGGCACAATGGGCTACATTGCGCCTGAATGCTTCCACACAGGCAAGGCCACCCAACAGTCCGATGTCTATGCATTTGGGGCAGTTTTGTTGGAAGTAGTGTGTGGTCTACGACCTGGGACCCAGATTGGCGGGTTCCAATTGTTGGTGGACTGGGTTTGGTCTCTGCACCGTGAAGGCCGGTTATTGGATGCTATGGACAAGAGGCTCGGGAACGACTACGTGGTAGAGGAAGCTCAGAAAGTGCTGCTTCTAGGTTTGGCGTGTTCGCATCCAATTGCAAGCGAAAGGCCTAAAAGTCAGGCTATCATTCAGATAATATCGGGTTCGGTGCCTGGGCCACATGTGGCGCCATTCAAGCCGGCTTTTGTGTGGCCATCAATGCCAATGGGAGACGAAGATATCAGTCAGGCAACTACGATAGACACGAGATCCTTTGCAACCTCCCATTTTGGGTCAGGAGGATGGACTCCACAATGCGTCAGCCGAGAGTACAACAGCCCACACAATCACAGTGGCAACTTCAGTGTTGTGTAATATCACTTATTACGAACTATTGACAATCAGAGTGGCAACTTCATATTTTCTTTTTCATTTTTTTTTTTTTTTTTTTTTTTTTTTTTTTTTTTTTTTTGTCTGTCTTTTTTCTTTCTTACCTGCTAGTTATTTATGTTGGAGTAGGAAATTAAGATTTCCTTCCTTTTTTATATTATATTTTCATGTATTTACTCTGATTTGTTTATTGAGAGACGAGGAGGCCAGGGGAGGAGAAAGGGGGGCCCTTGCTTTGTGTAAATTTGGTTGGGGGGTGTTGTACAAGATTTGATTTATAAAACTTGTATTAATCTTGTTAAAAAGGATGTTCCAGGATTATTCATCTGCAATTTTGTTGTACTTCAACTTTTAGCAACCCATCAATCTGAGCCTTTCTAGTAAAAAAATGTTGTTTTTACAGGAAATTTGCGCTAGAATGTTTACTTATGGAGTTGTTTTAAATGATCAATGTAAAATTGATGGCCAAATTTGTTTAAAAAAAGGAATAAGTCAAAGAGTCATTGGGTAGTGTGAATGATAAAAGTGAAATGATGTTATTTTGATGGTTGTACATACACAATAATTGTATATACTTTGCTAGTCAAAGAACAATAATCATGGATATTTTATGAAGAAAAAAGAAAAGTAAAATTCTATTATACATATCTAATATCATATATATTTTTAGTTATATTATTATTTTTTAATTATGACTAATTTTTTTTAGTTATAATATTATTTTAAGATTTTAATTATGATTTTTTTTTTGTAGTAATGCTATAAAAAATATAAAATAATAATGTTACAGACTCTTAAAAAACACAATCCTTAGAGCATCTCCAATGCAGTAGACATATAATACTTGTTAGTTAAAATACCTAGCATGATTCACTTTTTTCAATTCCAATGCACTAGGCATATGATTAGGCATTTTGGCTCAACTCATTTTCACTAGCTACATGTAGCTAGCCTTCAACGCTAGGCAAAATGTATTCAATCATTAGGATCATTTCCCTCCATCTTTGTTGTTGACGTGGAATTTTATAAAATTAATAGTATTTGGATAAATAGCTAAAATAAAGAGCATGGTTGGAGTAAAAACATAAAACAGTTGATAGGCAAAATAAAATATATACTTTATAGTAATATTCAGATAGGTAAAATGCCTACTACCGTTGGAGATGCTCTTATAATCCCCACTCACCTATAATTGATCCAGGAAGGAAAGAAAAAAATAATAATAATAAAACAAAAATGATCAGTTTACATTATTTTGAGAGTCATGGAGTCCCTAATTTTAGGGTCCCAAGCATTTTTCAAAAAGCATTTATTATGTTTGTTTCCAATTTTTTTAAAACACTTTTCAAAAAATTCTATTTTCTTATTTTTCATATATTTTTATTTTTATTGAATTTTTTAAATATTTTAAGCAATTATTTTAATTTTTAGACACACCTAATATAAATATACTTAAAAAGTATAATTTTCATGATTTTTTTTTAAAAATTCACTAAATATAAAAAATACACACAAAAAAAAAAAAACAAAAATTAAGTATATATATATTTTTATATTTTGTGTATTTATTAATTTTTTAAATATATTTTTACAAATATTTTATTTTTTAGATATATCTAAGTAAAGTATATTTAAAAAAATAAAAAAACTGTTTAAAATTTTAAAAATACTTGTCAAAAACAAAAAATATAAAAAATAAAATATTTAGGCTAAGTTTGGGAAGACTAAATAAGTGCACTTTTTGACTTTTTTTGTATGATGTGTAGAAAAAATAGAAAAGAGATGTTGATTGATGTGACTCAAAAAAGATAAAAAGATGAAATAAGTACACTTTTTTAGATTAACCAAACTTGACCTTAATTTAAAAAAAATTAAAACCAAACATGAGTGTTTCACGGGGCTGCGCCATTGGCATGGTAGGTCCAAAAGATCACTGCAAATGCTCAATAATTGAACGTGCAAGACAAAAAGCTGTGTTGTTAAGGTACGAACTTTTATTGACAACCCACCTGATTAAATTGACCAGGACTCTTCTTTCTTTATGCATCCATGTATCACGTGTCATAATTTGTGATTGATAAATAAAATCATGTATTTTTATAGTAATGTCATATATTTTTTTATTTAATAAGCCTCCGTTTGGGAAGTGGGTTGACTTTTTGGTTTTTTTGACTATTTTAGCCTGGGCTAAAAAGTTTGGTTTGGGAAGGGCTTTTTGGCTTTTTGGCTTTTTTGATTTTTTTTGTGAGAGAAGAGTGTAATGATTATGGGTTGGATGTGATATTTTGTTTGTTGTGGCTAAAATAGTCTGTTTTGTCTTTTGTGGCTATTTCAGCCCCAACCCAACTTGCCAAACACCACCTAAATGTTATATTATGTATTTTTCTTGCTTTAATTAAATAAAAAATATTATCAAATATTAAACTTACATTTTTTTAATACATAGTTATGGATTTTTGAGAATAGCTGAGGGTTAAAAAGAAATTTTGATGTCACGATAGTAATTTTCATTTAATTTTAAATAACAGTTGATGGAAGGATAAAATTAATTTAAAATTAAATAATTCAGGTATAAAAATTAATATTATTAAAAAATAAAAATAAAATTACTTTTTAAATGATAATTGAGAGATAAAATAAATTATTTTCAAATAAAATGCCATGAGTTGCTAGGTGGCACCACGTGATGCCAACGTGACATTTTTTTTTTTGAGTAAAAAATTCGATAAAGGTTAAGAATTGAAGTATATATTAGTAATAATCACATACTATAAGAACTAAATTGAGAAAAATTGCTCACAGAAAACTCTATTGAATATGTGAATCTTGATAAGTATTGTTCATTGATCTAATTAGGAAAAGTTAATTACCAACAAATTTTTTAATATTTTTATAATTTAAGCAAAGATAAAATAAGGGAAACTCATGATAGCCCCCACAAGGCTAACATGTATGTTTGGGATGACTTTTTGGCTAATTACGAAAAGATGTGCAAAAAGTAGAGAGAAAAGAGAATCTTTGACTTTTTGGTATGGGTTGTTGGCTCTTTGGCTAATTTAGTAACTTTTTGGCTAATTGGCTAAAATAGCCTCTTGCCAAACGAGGCCTAAATCTTTTGTCAAAATCAAAACGAGATCAACTTGGAGGTAGTAAATTATAAATCTTCGATACATTGTTTATTATTAAAGGAGAGGCCATATAATTAAGCTTTCCCAATTTTTATTTCACTGGTTTTTATCTTTTATTAAAAAAAACAAAAAGTAAATGATCGCTATGATTGGACATTGTTTTTTAAGAGTCAGTGCGTAGAATATCAAGAACTTCACCGGCAACCAACTTGATTGAGGATCGAAGATTTCTGTAGTATTGATAAGTAAAAGGAACGAACAAGCGAGGGTGCGAGGAGTCCACTAATTCCATGGGGGCTTCCACTGTTTCCTCCTTTGGTCCCAACATAAATGATGCAATTGAGATTCTTGTCCTTGCTTCCTTGCATACTACTCTATGCTTCACATTGCATATTCTTCCATTACTCCATACCTTTCACATTCCAACACATGTGAGAACAATAACCCAAAAAAAAAAAAAAAAAAAAAAAAACACAATCTTGTTAATTAATTTTCAGATAAATTACAATAAATCTGCTTAAATTATGACTTGTATTTTACATATTTGAATTTCAAAACTCAGCAGTTAACTTTCTCAAAATAATACATTCCGATATCTATTTCAGCAAAAAGCGAATCCACAAATCATGATGAGAATTGATTCAGAGTTTAAAGTTTGGGGTTTAGAGAGTAACAGATTTACCGACCGTAGCAATGTCTCCGAGATTGACAAGGAGGGATCCTGGCAAAGGCTCCACCGCCACAAATGCACCAGACTTGTCCATGATTTCAAGACCGCCAACGCTTTCATCGTCTTGAAGTATGGTAAGGAATCCTAAGTCGGAGTGTATTCGCACACCACAGGAGCCTATGGTCTCAGGAGTGAAGTTATATTTGTTGATCTTCAACTGACAAGGCCATCCCTCAAAGGAAACCCGAACCAGACCCATTCCTTCAACAATCTTGCACGCAATATCCATAGTCAGATTGTGTACTGCTTGAGCATACATTTTTATAGTTTCTCTGGTAACAGTTACAAATAAAAAACAGTTACTTGCGTATTGAAAAAACAACTTCAATACTGAAAAATCTAGAAATATCCCTCAAAGGAAACCCGAACCAGACCCATTCCTTCAACAATCTTGCACGCAATATCCATAGTCAGATTGTGTACTGCTTGAGCATACATTTTTATAGTTTCTCTGGTAACAGTTACAAATAAAAAACAGTTACTTGCGTATTGAAAAAACAACTTCAATACAAAGAGGGAAATACCCACATGCAAGTGGGACGAGTCGAACCTCCCTGTTGTGCATTTTTATTAATTTAGATCACAGGAAAGTATTGCATACGCACTGTAACACTAATTAGTTGGGAAAACGCTGTGTAAAATGTGTCCTAAATGCACTTTATAATTAAAAAGAAAAATTATATAATTTTAATTTTTTGAGTCATAATTAAAAACAACATGAGACATTGTAGACCGCCTGAACTCCACTTCGCGCGCGCGGGCGCGAATCGTGGTTCTAGCTACTACAGTTCGGACTCATGTGATGGTTCTGAATCTAATCTCACAAAGTGCAATGTAAGACTGATAAATCACCAAAGAGTCCAAATCCGGCAATTGGTTTTGAAAAAATCAATTTTCCCTAGAAACCAAAAAGAAGATCTGGAGCAGTTCCCCTAAAAATCTGACCCAATACGCGAATTTATAGAATCTGTCCCGCGATCTCCGCTCGAGCTCAACACAGCCCGCTCGAGCGGACTGACCAAAAACTGCGTGCGAACAAACTGAGATGCGCTCGAGCGTAGGAGAATCCGCTCGAGCGTAAAATCACACATTCCAGTATTTTCACAGGCGACTGCAGAGATGCTGAGAGCTTCCAATCCCCGCTCGAGCGTCACTTTCCCCGCTCGAGCGGGAAGGCCAAAAATGGAAAAACTGGAAAAATATAACATGATCGGACAGGCTACTTTGAATGCATTCGATCCCCGTCATAATCAGCGAAGTGGCAATCTGAAAAGCATTGTCAACACAAACTTCTCTGAAAGGCTTGATTCGGGTTGGATTCGCATCTAAACACTCAAAGTCTCACTGAAATACAAATGCGAATAAAATTACAACTCAAAGGAGTTTTGTCAAACGGGATTGCCAAGAATTAAAACCTAACAAATACAAAGAGGGAAATACCCACATGCAAGTGGGATGAGTCGAACCTCCCTGTTGTGCATTTTTATTAATTTAGATCACAGGAAAGTATTGCATACGCACTGTAACACTAATTAGTTGGGAAAACGCCGTGTAAAATGTGTCCTAAATGCACTTTATAATTAAAAACAATATGAGACATTGTAGACCGCCTGAACTCCACTTTGCGCGCGCGGGCGCGAATCGTGGTTCTAGCTACTACAGTTCGGACTCATGTCATGGTTCTGAATCTAATCTCACAAAGTGCAATGTAAGACTGATAAATCACCAAAAAGTCCAAATCCGGCAATTGGTTTTGAAAAAATCAATTTTGAATAAAAAAGCGCCAAACGTGGACTGCTTTACCAGATTTCAGAGTTGCCACCTAAATATTTTGTTTTGGGAAATTTAGGAAATCCTGACTCATGCCAAAGGCCACGTGTCCGTCATCACCAAAGTTGCTTTGACTCAGGAACTTGGGTACGAGAGGGGAATGTCCTGAAATGAGCACCCCCGTTCGCCCGATCAAAGGATCGGCTTCTACTAGACATGATATGTTGTTTTTGAAAACACATGTGTTCTTATTTAGATTATTAGCTAACCTTACTATGTGATGTGCATAGCATACAAGTATAGACTCAATCGCAAGAATTGAAACAAAACACCTCATGTTTGTTTTTCGAAATTGGTTTGGAAGTGCTACTCGTAAGTAGGCTAAGACGCGGATTTGCCACTCTCAAGTGGGCTTAGAAAACAACGTGATTTTGCCACTCCGCGAAGTGGGCTTAAAACGCACATTTTGATGAATTATTCCAATTCAAACAATGAAGCCTTCATCCACAGGCATTCATGAAGTTAAACACTTAAGCAAATAGCCTTATGGCAAGCATGCTATCATGGCAATCACTTACACACATGCAAGGATGCTAAAACGTAAACACTCACAGTGTACTCCGAGCCAAAACAGAAGCTAGTTAGAAATTATGCATGATCCTAGCTATGTTAAGATGCCTAATGCAACACATGCAAAAATGCAACTAAAATAGGCTCGGCTATCTAGAATGGCATATGAATGCAACACTTGATAACATGCTTTGAAACACGTATTCAAGAAAGTGTATTGAAATACAATGTAGTTTGAATGATGCGCCGAGCCTGGCGCATGCAAGACAAAATAAGTAGGCTAAGACGCGGATTTGCCACTCTCAAGTGGGCTTAGAAAACAACGTGATTTTGCCACTCCGCAAAGTGGGCTTAAAACGCACATTTTGATGAATTATTCCAATTCAAACAATGAAGCCTTCATCCACAGGCATTCATGCAGTTAAACACTTAAGCAAATAGCCTTATGGCAAGCATGCTATCATGGCAATCACTTACACACATGCAAGGATGCTAAAACGTAAACAGTCACAGTGTACTCCGAGCCAAAACAGAAGCCAGTTAGAAATCATGCATGATCCTAGCTATGTTAAGATGCCTAATGCAACACATGCAAAAATGCAACTAAAATAGGCTCGGCTATCTAGAATGGCATATGAATGCAACACTTGATAACATGCTTTGAAACACGTATTCAAGAAACTGTATTAAAATACAAAGCAGTTTGAATGATGCGCCGGGCCCGGTGCATGCAAGACGAATGAATGATGCACATATGCAAAGCATAAGTATGCTAATTGAAACATGCCCTAAACTAACCATCGAAAGCTGATAAGTAAAAGGGAGAAAGAAATGGGGTTGTAAGACATGCATCGCACACACGCACGCTTATTACAACATTTGCTCTCTCGACGGAGGGTCCGAATAATAAGCGCTAAGCTAAGCTACTTATTACAAACCAACTAATTAACTAACCTAGTTAACTAATTAGTTATTACAACACAAATTGATTAACGAAGCATGTTAACTAATTAAGTACAGAACCAAAGAATTAGCTAGCTAAGCAAAACAGTTAAAACGCCTCGGGGCGAGAGATGCATGCATGCTTGATCGGTTTCCTCCCGGAAATCCACCACCGTGCCTCATGATGCCTCTGTTTGCACACTTCTGTACTTCTGAAAATTATGCCAACTTTAAGAATGCTTCTGACCCACCTTAGGAACATGCTGAAGGATGGTCGGCCAAGAGGGATGGCCATCGGCCAGAGTTGATAGCTATCGGCCACTTTTGATAACCGATCGACAGCCTTGGTGTCCGGTCGGCAGCTTTGATGGCCGGTCGGCCACTGCTTCTTGCAATTTCTCCTTTTGCTGCAATAGAGCACAAACAGAGGCATGACAGTGTATTTACAAGGAAATGTGTGTGTAACTACACTCCTTATCATGTCTCAAGCTCAAAGGAGTGTAGTGCTCGGCTCTTGAGCCACCAATCACGCATCTCAATGCATGATGGCCAAAGCGTCAAGCTTGCACAATGGCCCCGTTTGGTGTAGCTGTTAAAACAGCTTATAGATTATAGCTTAACAGATTATAGATTATGACTTTAATCAGAAGTTGTTAATCTGTTTGGTATAGTTGTTGGATTATAGATTTAAGTTGTTGAGTAGTGTTTGTTAAATAAGCTGTGAAATAGTTTTTTTAATTAATTTTTATTTTTTGTTTGTCTACATTTCTCATTAAAAAAAATAAAATAATAATCTATAGTCCATTTGAGTCTTTTTCTATTTTTAAAAAAATAAAAAATAAAAAAATTTAAGAGTAAAACCATAAATTAACATGTCCACAGCAGAAACTGATAATCAGAAGCAAGGGGTGAACAGCTTCTCAGAATCAACTTTTTTGAGTTAAAATAAGCTGTTAGAATCAGAAGCTGTTTGAAATAAGTTTAACCAAACAGTCCAAAATAACTTTTTCAAGGCTAAAAGTCATAAGTTGGCTCTGAAAAGTTGAAGCAAACAACCCCAATATTGATGAATGCACAAATAACACATAGGACTCGATGAACCTCCACCTTATCATACATGATCAAAGGTGACGGCGACCTAAGGAATAAGGCACGTTTCATCACTTTGAGTATAAAACGTCTCTCATTCCTCATATTTGGATTAACATCTGATCCAAACACAATGCAATGCAACATACATGAAAACAACATGCTCATCTACCAACATGCTAATCTTGACATGTTAAGGTGGTATGTACAAGATTCCACCATGTAAACAATGCATGCAAGGCATGTTAAGGAGCTAAGAGCACTAAAGCAAGCAAAGAGCATCATACAAGAGGCATGCAACATAATGCTCAATGGACTAAACCAACACCAAACATACCTCATGCATGTCAAAACAGTGGCCAAAATGATTCGAAATGATAGCATGAATAGCAAGGGAATGATGCTCATGCAATGGCTCGCAAGCTAGGCATAAAGGTGCAACTCTCAAGAGCACCTAAAGAGTGAAAAACATGGAAGTGCGGCAACATTATATGTTCTGACATAACATGCCAAATGATGCCAAAGCATGCAAATACCTCAAGCCAAGCATGCAAGATACCTCAAAACTCAAAGCTATTCAAGGCTATTGCACTACAAGCATGCATAACAAACATCATACGACCAAGAAGCCTCAAAACAGAGCTAAAGCATGTTAAAACATGAGTAAAAACTTGCTGGAGTGGAGCCAAAACATGCTAGAAAAATGGGTCAAAACACCAAGTATATTAGGCTAGTGAGCAAGGTTTATATTACAAGTGTAAGAAGCATGCAAGAGGTGGCTCTACCAACCAAAATCAGAGTTACAACATGCCAAAATAATACCAAAAACATGCTGAGATAGAACCAAAACATGCTAGAATAACAAGCTAACTCATTAGGCATGCAAGGCTAGTAAAGAGGATTTACACTACAAGTGTAAGGAGCATGCAACAAGTGATCAAACCAACTAAAAACAGAGTTATAACATGCTCAAACTAAGCCTTAAGAAGGGAGAAATGCATGCTCATTTGGTGAGCCATCAACACATGCATGCAAGACAAGAGGAGAGGGGACCACCCCCTCCCATTTGGGGCCTCAAAACACACTTTCCACCACTGAAATTCCTCTGGAATTCAATGGTGAAAAGGCCAAACAAAAATGAACTCAAAGGCCTTAAAAGATGGCACCAAGCTCAAGCCAATAAGGCACACAAGAGGGTAGAACACCCTCAACACCAAAGAGGTCTCAAACAACCACCTTAGCACTTGTAAATAGAAATTTTTACAGTTGAAAGCTAAGCCAAAAGAAGCATGCAAAGATGGCTAAGTAAGCAACTACAACAAAACTTTAAAGAGGATAGAGACTCACCCTTGAAGAACAACTTCAAAACAGTAACTTCTGAGGCAAAAACCAAGCTTTTGAGCTTCAAACAAACCCCCAAGTACCTCAGCTCAAGAGTGGAGGTGTTTCACTATGTGCTTTAGTGCAAAAGTGTGAAGAAAAACCACTTTAAGGCACAAACTAGTGCAAATATAGAGAGAGATGGAGAAATCAAGAGAGAGAGAGAGAGGGATATGTATAGCCCTAAGTAAATTTTCTGAACCTCTAAAAGGGGAGAGGAGCCTCCCCTCTTATAGAAATCCAAGTCTCAAGCTTGTTGAACAAGCTAGAAGCTTAGTGCAATCCCTCCATACACATGTATGGAGGATGCGTTCTATGCTCACCAGCTGGCACAACTGGCAATTAAAATATCTACAAAAGTAAAGAAAAGGGCCTTGGCCAAAAAACATGGCTAACCGGCCATCAGTGAAACCGACCGGCCACCACTGATGGCCGATGGAAAGATGGCATAGTCGATGGGTATGGGGCCTGGCCGACAGGCGGCCCTTCCCTCAGAAACAAAGCCACAAGCTCTTGGTCCACAACCAAGCACAAAACAGACAAGTTGAGACGCTTCAAGGCAAGGCGCACAACTGAGGCCTTTAGGAACTCAAAACGAACACGAGCATGGATGATCATCGAGTGTTCAAACGATGATGTCCAAGTCTTGAGGACGGTCAAAAATGGGGTGTCTACAGTTGCCCCTTTTTGACAGAACTTGAAAGTCATGAGATGATGGGAGTGAAAGTCAAAGCCCAGAGATGACCTATTTTTGACAAGGCCGAAGACTTAGACAAACTTACAAAATAACAATATAGAGATGCATTCGCGGGCTGGGAAAAAATGCAAATGACATGCACAATGCAGAACATAACTTATGATTATGCAAAGAGAACTGTAATAAAGCATTTATGCAAAATAAATACAACATTTTATGCGAATGTTATGCAAAGAAATGCTACAGCAAACTCGTACATAAGCAAGTAAACGCGAACCAAACTACATCTCATGTAGAAAAGATGTAAGAAAATTATACAATTCTCATTGCGTCTCACGCAGAGGAGGCCAAAAGCGACTACCGAGAATACCCGGAGTCTCAAACACAACATCTCTCAGCGTATCACACGTGAGAGAGGGAAAGCAACATCTCTCAGCGTATCACACGTGAGAGGGGGAAAGGCAACACCCCTCAGCGTATCACATGCGGGAGAGGGAAAGGTACTCCTCTCAACGTATCACACACGGGAGAGGGAAAGGTACAACTTCTCAGCATATCACACGCAAGAGAGGGAAAAACAACATCTCTCAGTGTATCACACGCAAGAGAGGGAAAAGCAACATCTCTCAGCGTATCACACACGGCAAAGGGAAAACAACATCTCTCAGCGTATCACACGCGAGAGAGAGAAAGGCACACCTCTCAGTGTATCACACGCAAGAGAGAGAAATGTACAACTCTCAGCGTATCACACGTAAGAGAGGGAAAACCAACATCTCTCAGCGTATCACACGTGGGAGAGGGAAAGCAACATCTCTCAGTGTATCACACGCGAGAGAGGGAAAGGCACACCTCTCAGCGTATCACACGCAAGAGAGGGAAAAACAACATCTCAGCGTATCACACGCGAGAGGGAAAAGCAACATCTCTCAGCGTATCACACGCGAGAGAGGGAAAGTAACATCTCTCAGCATATCACACGCGAGAGAGGGAAAGGCCCACCTCTCAGCGTATCACACGCAAGAGAGGGAAAAGCAACATCTCTCAGCGTATCACACGCGGGAGAGGGAAAGGTACTCCTCTTAGCGTATCACACGCAAGAGAGGGAAAGGTACAACTTTCAACGTATCACACGCAAGAGAGGGAAAAGCAACATCTTTCAGCATATCACACGCGGGAGAGGGAAAGCAACATCTCTCAGCGTATCACACGCGAGAGAGAGAAAGGCACACCTCTCAGAGTATCACACGCAAGAGAGGGAAAAACAACATCTCAGCATATCACACGCGAGAGGGGAAAAGGCAACACCTCTCAGCGTATCATACGCAAGAGAGGGAAAGGCACACCTCTCAGCGTATCACACGCAAGAGAGGAAAAAGTAGCATCTCTCAGCGTATCACACACGGGAGAGGGAAATGTACTCCTCTCAACGTATCACACGCAAGAGTGGAAAATATACACCTCTTAGCGTATCACATGCAAGAGAGGGAAAGCAACATCTCTCAGCGTATCACATGCAAGAGAGGGAAAATCAACATCTCTCAGCGTATCACACGCGGGAGAGGGAAAGCAACATCTCTCAGCGTATCACACGTGAGAGAGGGAAAGACACACCTCTCAGTGTATCACGCGCAAGAGAGGGAAAAGCAACATCTCTCAGCGTATCACACGTGAGAGAGGGAAAGACACACCTCTCAGCGTATCACACGCAAGAGAGGGAAAAACAACATCTCTCAGCGTATCACACGCGATAGGGATAAAGGCAACACCTCTCACCGTATCACACGCAAGAGAGGGAAAAGCAACATCTCTCAGCGTATCACACACGAGAGAGGGAAAGCAACATCTCTCAGCATATCACACGCGAGAGAGAGAAAGGCACACCTCTCAGCGTATCACACGCAAGAGAGGGAAAGGTAACATCTCTCGGCGTATCACACACGGGAGAGGGAAAAGCAACAGTGCAAGCATTGAGGAGTTGTATAAACATCGGAGTGCGTCCAAATGCTTCTAACAAGGGTATAGCGTAAACTTTGAGCGCACCCGGGTGTTTCTAACTAACGAGGTGCTAGTGTAGACATCGGGCGTGCCCGAATGTCTCTAACTAATGAGGTGAAAGAGAGGAATGGCTTTACCTGAAAATCCTCTAAATGAACCGTACATACAATATCGTCTGGTTGTACTAGCCTCAAATGAACCGTATATACAATATCGTCTGGTTGCTCCAGCCTCAAATGAATC